TATAGGTGCTTGGAGAAGCTCAGTCGGTATAGGTGTTTGGAGTGGCTCGGACAGTATAGGTGCAACGATCTCAAATGTTCTTAGGGTTTGTGTGTTAAACCACCAGTACTTGGCCCAACTATAAAGTCCAGATAGCAGATTGGAGTGCCTCGGTCAGTATCGGTGTTTGGAGTGGCTCGGTCGGCATCGGTACTTGGAGAAGCTCGGTTGGTAGCTGGTTGGAGTGGCTCGGTCGGTAGGTGGGTTGAGGTCCTAAGTCGATAGGTGCTGGAAATGGCTCAGTCGGTAGGTCCGTATAGGTGCTTGGAGTGGTTCAGTCGGTAGGAGGTTGGAATGGCTTGGTCGGTATAGGTGCTTGGAGTGGCTGGGCCGGTAGGTGCTTGGAGTGGCTGGGTCGGTAGGTGCTTGGAGTGGCTGGGTCGGTAGGTCCTTGGAGTGGCTGGATCGACATTTATTTTGCGGTTTGAACGTTTTTTTTTTGTTTCTCGGTTTAACTGTTTTTTTTTTTTTTTCAAGCATTATTCGTGGAAAGATCAAGACCAAGCCTGCAGACCCTTAAATTTTCAGCGAATTTGAGGTATTTTTCTTAGTGCTAAAAATCGCGGAACTTGGGGTACGTTCTCTGTCGGCCCACACGCCGTAGGGCAGTAAAAATCGAAAACGCAACGAATCGGCGCGACATTTATTTCACGGTTCTTTTTTTTTGTAATTTTTTTATTATTGTTTCTAGAAAGAGCGGAATCTAATCTACAGGAGGGGTTCGGCGGGAAGGTGCTTGGAGTGCCTCGGTCGGTACAGGTGCTTGGAGTGGCTTGGTCGGTATAGGTGTTGAAGTGGCTCGGTCGGTGGAGGTGCTTGGAGTGGCTCAGTGGGTAGGTGCTTGGAGTGGATCGGTGGGGAGGTGTTGGGAGTGGCTCGGTGGGTAGGTGGTTTGATTGGTTCGGTGGGTAGGTGTTTGGAGTGGCTCGGTCGGTATAGGTGCTTGGAGTGGCTCGATCGGTAGGTGCTTGGAGTGGCTCGGTCGATATCGGTACTTGGAGTGGCTAAGGGGGTAGGTGCTTGGAGTGGCTCGGTTGGTAGAAACTGTGAGTGGCTCAGTCGGTTGGTTGTTGGAGGGGCTCGATCGGTAGGTGCTTGAAGTGGCTTGGTCGAAAGTTGCTTCGAATGGCTCGGTCGATAGGTGCTTGGAGTGGCTAGGTGGGTTGGAGTTGCTCTGTCGGTAGATGCTTTGAGTCGCTGGATCAGTAGGTGCTTGGAGTGGCGGAGTGGGTAGGTACTTCGAGTGGCTCGGTGCGTAGGTGGTTCGAGTGGCTTGGTGGGAAG